AAATAATGAATTATGAGGCCCAACTGTAAACTGAGGCCCTCAGATCTCATGGGTCTGAGTTTAGGGAAATGGGATTAGGGGCCTGGGGAGGTAGTCTAAAAGGATGCACGCTAGACTGGTATTCTGTACTGCATTCAGAGAGAAAGGTCTTCACAACGTGGCAGTTAGCTCCACTTGAGAAAGTTTAAAGAGCCCCTCACAGAAAGGAGCAGACGGAAGTCAAGCCTCCCTTTCTGCCAGGCTTGTTTTCAATCCCCTATCTTTTGCTTCTCATTGGAAGGCACTGAATTTAGCAGATTTCTGTTTTACACACACATTTCTAAACTTACCTCCAAAGACAGTTTTTTGTAGTGTTGGTTTCTTGTTTTTCGAGACCGTTTCTGTGTAGCTCTGGCTGACCTCTCACAGAGATCCACCTGCCTCTGCTTCCTGGGATTAAAGGCGTGTGCCACCACTACTACCTGGCCCAAAGATAGCTTTTTAAACTTGGGAGTGGAGTCAGGATTGTTAAAACTACTATTTAACCTAATTGTGATTCCTTCCTGTTAAAAAACAAATATTTGTTCTTGGAGCTTTTCAGGATTACAGAAAAGTAATTTTGCTGCACCTGAGTTGGGAGAGAGGCAAACCCTAAGAAAAATTAACTTGCCAGTGTCAGACAACTCTTCCCTGTTGTTCTTACTTGTCTGTAGTTCTGAACATACAAACCTTTCAAATACTCGTGAGCCATTGAAAGAAAAATGATACCATTGAATTTTTTTAATAGGGGCCATCTCTCCAGTCCCTATTGAAATTTTTTAATGCTCTAGGAATGAATTTTCATAATTACTGTGTCTATTATTCCAAGCCCGTATTCTCTATTTTTTATTTTGGGTTGTTGTTGTTGACAATCTCACTGTATTGACCAGGCTGGCCGCAATTCATGTCTACCACCTCCTCGGGAGTGCCTGGATTAAAGTGTGCACCAGAGCCAGCCACTCACCTCTTTATCTGTCCCTTCTGGTTTTCTGGTGTCCAGTGTGCTTTTGTATGGCTTGTTGGGCTTATTTTCTATGGTAACTGCTCATCCAAGTAAAACAGGTAAGCCCCACAGTAGTAGACTTACAATCCCGAAAGATGTTTTTAGAACTTACGACTGGGTACTTTGGTGTTCCTTAATCCAGAATGCTTGCCTGTCAAAAAAAATGTCTTTGATCTAATGCTCCTGAATTTCATTACTGGCATTACCATTTTCACCTTTCTGTCTTTTAATGTGGAACTACAGGCTCTAGATGGTGAACTTGATGAAAAGTATAAGAAGGTAGAAAGCTTAATTGCCCAAAAAACTGAAGAGTCAGCAGATGCCAGGAGGAAAGCTGAGCTGCTACAAAATGAAGCAAAAGCACTCTTGGCTCAGGCCAACAGCAAGCTGCAGCTGCTGGAAGGTGGGTCTCCTCCTCCAGTTTATTGTTCTTAGAAGGGGAAACCTGTTCACGTAGGCGTAGGTGTTTAGTGTTTGTTCTCACACTGGAAGGTGGGTCTCCTCCTCCAGTTTATTGTTCTTAGAAGGGGAAACCTGTTCACGTAGGCGTAGGTGTTTAGTGTTTGTTCTCACACTGGAAGGTGGGTCTCCTCCTCCAGTTTATTGTTCTTAGAAGGGGAAACCTGTTCACTTAGGCATAGGTGTTCAGTCTTCTTCACTAACTTATAACCTTGTTTTTATCCCACAGCCTTAGAAAGGAAGTATGAAGACAATCAAAAATACTTAGAAGACAAAGCTCAGGAATTAGTACGACTGGAAGGAGAGGTCCGTTCCCTCCTTAAAGACATAAGTGAAAAGGTTGCTGTTTACAGCACTTGCTTATAACCCAGGGAAAGGGCTGTAAGGAGGCCGCAATGACCAAAGTAAACTAACTATGTGTGACAATTAACTCATTACCTATTTAATGTTTTTATCCACCTACTTTTGTATGGAGTTCAATAAAATACATTGGTTTTGTATAAATGTATTTACTACAATTCCTGTTTCTTTTATTGATTTGGTCTTCGTGAATCCTACCAAGAAATGTTACTTTCTGTGTAAAGATGGACTTGTAAAGCACTTTAAGAAGACGCTAATTTCTATTGTGTGTATAAACAAGCTAACAATATTCACCCATTTGTTAGGTCAACATCTATCTTCAAAACTTTATTCCTTTTAAATCCCCCAGTGGAGAATCCTGAGTGGGAGTTAAACAGGAAGGATACAGGGTACCTTATACCACTTTTCTTTGTTGCTCCAACCATTTCTAAACATCAGAAGGAAGAACTCTGGCTTCTATGTTTTGCCACCTGATGAGCAGGATTTTGGTGATTTAGGCCAGTGAATGTATGGAAACTGCTTTTGATAATGGAGCAAAGCTACTCAAATACACAACTTAACACTTTTTTTTTTGGTTTTTACGAGACAGGGTTTCTCTGTATTGTTTCGGGGGCTGTCGGTCCAGCCTGGCCTCAAACTCACAGAGATCCGCCTGCCTCTGCCTCCCGAGTGCTGGGATTAAAGGCGTGCACCACCACCGCCCGGCTACAACTTAACACTTTTATGCTTCATGTAACTTCACAATCAACTATTCTAAACAAGTACGTAGTCCAGTGCATAAAGAAAATCATTAGCTTATAATAAGTTGTGTCAACTACATAGTAGCTCAAGTTCAGAGTGGGCTAATCTTAGATCCCCATATCTATCTAACACAGGCACAAATGAAGCTGGGCCTGCACAAGTTAGGAAAATAGCTGTAACTTCAACAAGGCAAGTCTTTCTGGTCTAACACAATTGTCCTTTTTCATCTAAATACGAATCCTAGTAAATAACAGACATACTTCACAATGTCTGATTCATGCACGCGCGCGCGCACACACACACACACACACACACACACACACACACACACACACACACACACACTCCCCATGTCTTTTCTCCCAAAAGCCCTTCTGTATACTAAATCAGCTCATTGTTAACAGAACTGTCCCTGTAAGGTCCTTGCATAAGACCACAAACACTAAGCGTTTAGCTAGGACACTTTTTTTTTTTAAGATTTATTTATTTGTTATGTATACAGTGTTCTGTCTGCATGTATGCCTGCAGGCCAGAAGAGGGCATCAATACAGATGGTTGTGAGCCACCATGTGGTTGCTGGGAATTGAACTCAGGACCTCTGGAAGAGCAAGCAGTGCTCTTAACCTCTGAGCCATCTCTCCAGCCCCCTAGCTAAGACACTTTTAAGTCTTAGGTTTTTCTTCACCCAGATTATATTCTCATACTGAATGAGAATCCTTCAGTTAGACAACTACTACTTTTTTTTGTGTGTATCTGTACAGCCAGGAGATCATATTAAATTATGTCTTACTATTTAAATTATGTTTTACTATTTCCAAATTACAAAATTCCAAGAGAGGAGGGGGACATGTTTGAGATTTAAATAAACCATCACCCAACCTAAAATTGACATTTTAGATCTTAAAAATACATTAGTACCTACAGCTAACTGCAAATTCTGAGCAAAAAAAAAAAAAAGAAGCAAAGGCACTGCAGAGCAAACAGCAAAGCAGAATGTCTTGGCTTTTAAAGCTTTCACTTGAAAGTTAAAAGCCATCTTTCTATGGGAAAAAACAAACAGAATCTGAGGCAAATATAAGGGAGAAAGTGTTATAAACTGCCTAACTCACACTTTTGGCACAAAACAAAACTATTTCCAATGCACACTGCTACCAAACAAAGTTTGGAATTGAGAAATTTTAACTCTGATTAAAGAAAAATGTATTTATAGAGAAAGGTTTATGAGTGAATCCAGCCTGGACAATATATGGTCATTACCCTAAGTCTTAAAACCACCAGACATTTTTTTAAAAAAGTCCAACTAGTAGCCAGACAGTGGCGGCGCACTCGGGAGGCAGACGCAGATGGATCTCTGAAATTGAGATCAACCTGGTCTACAGAATGAATTCCGTGACAGCCAGAGCTACACAAAGAAACTGTCTGGGGAAAAAAAAAAGTGAACTACAGTTCCATTGTGCAACAATATTAAAGCACCTGATTGGTCATTGTCCTTTCATTTGTATTACAGAGAATTATGAAATGTTTAGCTTGTACTTCACACAGTATTGTTAGAATCAATATTATTCCAAGTTTACTTAAGTCAAATGAATACCTCATTTGTATACTTTTAGGTAGTTTCCAATTTTCTTTTTTAAAAACCTACCATATTTAGGGCTATTCAATAAATTTGACATGACAAATTTAGGTGTAATATATAAAGTATTTAGTTCATGGCCCTTCTTGAGATACTTAATTATTTTAACATTTTGTCATTTAATAACATTTATCAGTAAATATAATTTTGTAGCACTTTTTTTAAAGCTTTTTCAGATAGGGCTCCTCTACGTATTCCTAGCTGTCCTAGAAATTGCTCTACAGAACAGCTGGCATCGAACTCAGGTCCACCTGCCTCTTCCTCCTGAGTACTGAGACTAAAGGCATGTGCTATCACCTACCAGCTTTGTAGCCCTCTTTAAAAAATTTACTAAGATTAAAAAGATAAAAATGAAAAAGATGGCTCAGAGGTTAAGAGCACTGGCTGCTCTTCCAGAGGTCCTGAGTTCAATTCCCAGCAACCACATGGTGGTTCACAATCTGTAATGAGATCTGGTGTCCTCTTCTGGCTTGCAGACAGATATGGAGGCAGGATGTTGTATTCATAATAAATAAACAAGTCTTTTAAGAAAAATGAAAAAGAAAAAAAACCTTCAGAAAGCTATTTACTAAGCCAAGGCAATCCACATTGGAAAAGACAGAAGATTACAGGTTCTCTTATGTTGTGTCTCCTAAAGTATAGGCTAAACATTTAATAGTTATCTGTAAGACACATGGAGGGAAGGGTAAATGACTGCTCAAACATCTTAATATTATCGTACAATGTGAAGACATTCAGTGCCATGAAAGTGATAAAGAATAAAAATTGAAAGACAATCAGAGGTAGTTAAAAGAATTAGAACCATTTTAATATGCACTCAGAATAACCAGTAAATAAATATTTAAGACATGTTTATTTTGGTATCTTCATTCCCTGGTATAATCAAGCTCCATTTAATAGTTTTGTAGACAGAATCTTCATTTGGGCAAGTGAATACCCTTTAACTTATAGGCCTTACTACAACTACAACCTCAATGTTGAAACATGTAATTTTCATTACCTCTAAACTACCAGGGATTTGAGAGTTAAATAAAATGAGAGACAATCAATTTTATTTACATAAGTTGTTTGTACATATTTGAATCTTGTTCTAATCACTGACTCGTTTCCAATATGAAAACCAAATTTCACTTGGTCAGTTTTCTTCAGGCTATTCACATGAATTCTCCAGCTCCTTCCTGTGAACAGATTCACCTCCACTGAATCAGAGATAAAACTCATGAATGCCAATTCAGTGAAGTCGAATCTCACAGACAACACAAAAACACTGGTCAAACTTTCCCAGGATGCTACTGCATGTAGCTCTCTGCCCACAATAATGCACTGGACAAATTTAAAATATAGGACAAGGTTATTCCATTCTGTTTAACCTACTAAATACATTCCAGAAGTTTCATAGTTTCATCCTACAAATTCTTGGAACTGGGAGATTATCCTGTTCAAAAATGTAACCTTGACAAAAACTTCCAGAACTTAGGAAAGCCATCTTCTAATTAAAAGTTGATTGGTTTGCCGAAGGACGCAGCCAGGTTTGCTTCTCTGAAAGCCTCTGACAAGGTCTGCAAGGGAAGCGATGGACAGTTAATCATGAAATAGTGGTAAGTCAAAGGAAACCTGGGTAGCAGTAAGCTGCACGTAATAATTACCGGATGTGCATGGCAGACTCTGGCTATATCTTCACAGGAAGCTCCGTACTCCAGAGCCAGGGCAGCTTCATTCACCATCTCTCCAGCACCCTTAAAATTAAAAAGCAATTATATTTCCAAGGCGAGAATAACTATACACTCTAATTAACAAATCGCGCTTTTAGGCTTTTAGACACTAAATCTTATTCTTAAATCTCTGTCTATTCAAATGGATGACACTGGAAGAAACCATCGTGAGGTAACCAGTCAAAGAAAGACAAACATGGTATGCGCTCACTGATACATGGTAGACACAGAGCAAACGACTATCAGTCTACAATCCACACACCAGAGAAACCAGGAAACAAGGAGAACCCAACAGAGACTACATGGTTCCCCAGAGAAGGGAAAAGAGACCAGATCTCCTGAGCAAATTGGGAGCATGGGGGGAGGGGAGAGGGAACTAGGAGAAGAGGAGGGGAGAGGAGGACATGAGGGAGCAGGAAGATCGAGTCAGGGAAAGAATAGAGGAGAGCAAGAAAAGAGATGCCATAATAGAGGGAACCATTATAGGTTTAAAGAGAAATCTGGTACTAGGGAAATGTCCAGAGATCTACAAGGATGACCCCAACTAATAATCTAAGCAATAGTGGAGAGGCTACCTTAAATGCCCTTTACTGATGAAATTGATGACTACCTTGTATGCCATCCTAGAGCCTTCATCCAGTGACTGATGGAAGCAGAGGCGGACACCCATAGCTAAACACTGAACTGAACTCCTGGAATCCAGTTGCAGAGAGGGAGGAGTGATGAGCAAAGGGGTCGTGACCAGGCTGGTGAAACCCACAAAGACATCTAACCTGAACAAGTGGGAGCTCTTGGACCCCAGACTGATAGCTGGGAAACCAGCATAGGACCGACCCAGACCCCCTGAACGTTAGGAGGCCTGGGCAATCAATGGGGCCTCTGGTAGTAGATCAGTATTTATCCCTAGCAAAAGAATGAACTTTGGGAGCCCATTCCACATAGAGGGATACTCTCTCAGCCCAGACACAAGGGGAGTGGGGGGGCTAGGCCCTGCTCCAAATGATGTGACAGACTTTGAAGCTCCTCCATGGAAGGAAGGCCTCACCTTCCCTGGGGAGCAGAAAGGGGATGGGATAAGGAGTTTGTGGGGGGCAGGGAATGAGGGGGGGGAGAGGGAACTGGGATTGATTTGTAAAACAATCTTGTTTCTAATTTAAATAAAAAAACAATAAGACATAAGAAAAAGAAATCTTTGCCTATTACAGCAGCCACAGAAAAGTCAAGCAAGCAAAGCTTATCATAAAATGCAACAGGGAGGGGCTTGGGCTTCAAAGCCAATGGCCTAGGTCCTATACTTTGCTGTTTTTATGTTTCATGCAATGTCTTTGCTTAAAAATAGCAACTCTCCCACAACACTGTAAACGTGAAGTATTAACAATGAGTTAGTTTATTAAGTTATTAGAAGAGGCATAGAAAGCATCCAAACACTGTTAACTTTACTGTTCTGCCACACAGCAGAGGAACACACCTTTCAGACTCACTAAAGTCTAAGCCTTCCCTCAGGAAGTAATGTCTGGAAGTAGAGTGCTCTACACCATGGGTACAATATGCACACATACAGGACCCAAATGCAAACCAAGCTTGGCCTGCTGTGAAAAGGAGAAGACTCCCTCTACCTGTAAAACATTAGATAAAGAGTGGGGCTAGAGAGGCCTGGTTGTGCTTGCAGAGGACCCAGGTTCAATCCTCGGTACCCACATGGTGGCTCACACTCTAGTTCAGTGAATCCAACACCCTCTCCGAGTCTCAGCAAGGTCCGCATTAACGCAGCACAGACATGCATGCAGGCAAACACTCTCACATAAAACAAAGTTTAAAAGAGAAGTTAGTGAGCAAACGGGATGGGCAGAGAGATGAGGTCAAAAAGGAGGGGGAGGGCAGGGCAGAGTGGGGAGGGCAGGGCAGAGTGGGGAGGGCAGGGCAGGGCAGAGTGGGGAGGGCAGGGCAGGGCAGAGTGGGGAGGGCAGGGCAGGGCAGAGTGGGGAGGGCAGGGCAGAGGGGGGAGGGCAGGGCAGAGGGGGGAGGGCAGGGCAGAGTGGGGAGGGCAGGGCAGAGGGGGGAGGGCAGGGCAGGGCAGAGTGGGGAGGGCAGGGCAGAGTGGGGAGGGAACGGCAGAGTGGAGAGGGCAGGGCAGAGTGGGGAGGGCAGGGAAGAGTGGGGAGGGCAGGGCAGCGTGGGGAGGGCAGGGCAGAGTGGAGAGGGCAGGGCAGAGTGGGGAGGGCAGGGCAGAGTGGGGAGGGCAGGGCAGGGCAGAGTGGGGAGGGCAGGGCAGAGTGGGGAGGGCAGGGCAGGGCAGAGTGGAGAGGGCAGGGCAGAGTGGGGAGGGCAGGGCAGAGTGGAGAGGGCAGGGCAGAGTGGGGAGGGCAGGGCAGAGTGGGGAAGGCAGGGCAGAGTGGGGAGGGCAGGGCAGAGTGGAGAGGGCAGGGCAGAGTGGAGAGGGCAGGGCAGAGTGGGGAGGGCAGGGCAGAGTGGGGAGGGCAGGGCAGAGTGGGGAGGGAACAGCAGAGTGGAGAGGGCAGGGCAGAGTGGGGAGGGCAGGGCAGAGTGGGAAGAGCAGGGCAGAGTGGGGAGGGCAGGGCAGGGCAGAGTGCAGCCAGAATCAGCCAGGCCTCGTGTCCTTGCAGGCAGTGCTACTGTGGTACCTTGTCACTAAAAGCAAGCTGTCACTAGTCAGGGTTACAGGGCCAGGATCATCAGCAGCAAGTGTATTAAATTCTACCCATCAAAGGGTCCCTGAAGTCTTCCTGGGTTTCTAGGACTTTGCAACACTTACCGGGCCCAGAATGTGTGCCCCCAGCACTCTGTCTGTTGATTTCTGTCCAAGAATCTTCACCATGCCATCTGTGTCAGCGTTTGTTTTAGCTCTGCTGTTTGCAGCAAATGGGAATTTGCCAACTTTGTACTCAATACCCTGTGGAGAACAAAAAATGAGAATATATATTAAGTATGGTAAAAGTTTATTTCCATTTGTTAAGAAAATAAGTCCCAAGAAAGCAATTGTTCAGGACACACAGAAAGAACAACCAAAAACAGGTTAATAAAATTTAATGTAGGAAGAAATATAGTCCTCTGACTGTACTCCAAAGTCAAATATTAAAAAGCTCTGCAACCAGGCCTTTCACCCAGCATTTGTGAGGCAGAGACAGGTGCATCTCTGATTTTGAGGTCAGCCTTGTGTACAGAGTGAGCTCCAGGACAACCAAGGCAGTCTCAAAAAAGGCTCTGCAGCTAGCAGCTTTTGAGTACAGGTGGCTTCTTACCATCTTGTCTACTACCACTAACAAAGTGAAGGAGTAAATATCTCCTTATGATTCTAAAAAAGGAACAAATACATGAGCTAAAAAAAGGCTAACGTGGAGTATTTGTCTGTTTTGTGTTTCTTGCTTGTTGCTGTTGTTGTTGTTTGTGAGACAGGGTTCTCTATGTAGCTCTGGCTATTCTGGAACTCCTCTGTGGACTAGGCCTCAAACTCACAGAGATCTACCTGCCTCTGCCTCCTGCCAAGTCATGGGATCAAGGCATTCGCCACCACGCCTGGCAAGACATGTTTTCTAGTCACTAGTGCCATCATTTCCAATCCCACACTTAGGTACCTCTTCTTTCAACTGCTCTTCTGATTTGCCAACCCAAGCAACCTCCGGGTGTGTGTAAATCACTGAAGGCACACAATTATAGTCGATGTGCACAGCACCGCCAGCCATTCCTTCAACACAGATGATGCCTTCATCTTCTGCTTTGTGAGCCAACATTGGACCAGCAACCACATCCCCAATAGCATAGATACTACCAGAAAAAAGAAGCACAGTAAACGTCTAAAATCTAAGAAGGTTAGTTATACAACAGAAACATATTTCTAGCTAATAAGTCACCAGAAAAGAATCAAATGTAGCTCTTCAAAAACCAGAGCTAAGTATCTAATCTTTGAGCTGTGAGAAATTCAACTAGTTATATTTAAAGTCTTATTTTCAAGACAATGTCTGAAATAAATTTAATATTATTGAAAATGCCCAACACTTGAGAGCCTAAGACAGACAAGATCACTTGAGTCCAGTTCAAGACTAGTCTGAACCACAAAGCAAAATTTCGTATCTAAAGACAGACAGTTGAAATGTAAATAAAGTATTTTCGAGTAAAATATTAGTAATTGGGGCTGGAGAGATGGCTTAGTGGTTCAAGTCCCAGCACCCACAAAGTGGCTCACAGCTGCCTCTAACTCCTCTTCCAAGGGATCTGATGCCTCCTCTGACCTCCACAGGAACCAGGGACACACAAGGCAAACAGACACACATGCAGGCAAACATTCATGCAACAAAGACATAAGTTACTTATAGTTCAAGGATTTAGAAAGTCTTTATCACCATCATTTTTGTAAGCTTGGTGAATTATTCGGGTAGAAGTGCTACACATTCCTTTACAACACGCATGCCTCATCCTGTGTCAGTGTTTAATCTTAATAAAGAGTCAAACATAGTATCATGCAGAGAACACTTGTAAAAAGAAAATAGGTAATTATTCAACTTACTTTGGAATTTTAGTTTGGAATCTGGTATTGACTGGAATTCTACCTCTGGGATCTAGTTCAATTCCAAGCTCTTCTAGTCCCAAATTCTGAGTAAAAGGCCGTCGGCCAATGCACACCAAGAGCACATCACAAGGGATAACTTCAGCTTTACCTCCAGAAGCAGCTTCCACCCTAAACAAACAGTGGTGACTGTTAGTCATGTGCCTACCTACACTGACAGCTAAACGGAGCCATGGCATTTCTAGTGACGCTAATTATAAAATAAGACATGAAATCCAACATACAGATTCTTAAAAGTTCATTCTTAAGATCTTATAAGAACAGGCACTGTAACACAGTGGTAAAACACAGGCTTCACGGCTGGTAGAGCACTTGCATAGCATGCGTGATGTCTTGGGGTTTGGTTCCCAATACTATAAAAATATAAAAGGATAGGTTGGGCAATGGTGGCCCACACTTGGGAGGCAGAGCCAAGAGGATCTCTGTGAGTTCAAGACCAACGTGGTCTACAGAGCAAGTTCCAGGACAATACAGAGAAACCCGGTCTCAAAAAGCACTCCTCCCTACCCCCCCCCAAAAGATCTTAGAAAGATCCACGGTCAAGTATTGATTGGCTCCACCTATCACCAACTGTGTGACTGTGAAGAAGTCACTTTGTTAAACTAGGTAAGTATTTAATAAGTGCAGGATGAATTTTACTAAACATAAGGAGCTTTATATTTTATGAAAATATACAGCAAAAAAATATATCACAATGAGACTAACTAATTAGGTTTTTTAGCATCAACTTATTCATAAATTTTAACTAGCTAATTTGATAGGCAATGCTGTGTAATACAAAGCAATGAGATGATTCTACATTTATTAATCTGAAAACAAGTGCTTTTTTGAGACAAGTAATGATGACTTGTCAAAAACAAATGCAGCATACTTACGACACGTCAATTTTCCCATCTGATCTCTTGGTGGCACCAGTAACTTTTGTATTTAGTTTAAACTTAAAGCCTTGCTTTTGTAGTATGCGCTGAAAATTTTTAGATATCTCCATATCAATTCCAATTCCACCCACGTGACCTAAAAATTCAACTGCAGTCACTTCTGCACCAAGTCTTTGCCAAACTGAACCCTGAAATGAATTTAAGAAAAGTCATACAAGCCTTCATAACAACGTTTATTACCTATCTCCAACAATTTACTGCATTGTCTCCTTTTGCAACTGTTAAGGGGAGCTCTAGTGTTTAAGGGAACATAACTTTATCTGTTTATTCACCTATTCCACATTTGCTGGGCATCTACTTACCACAGGTCAGGTGCCATTACAGCTGCTAGTGTTTCTAAAACGTGGTGTTTCTGGGGACTTTACAATATGATAGAGGAAGTCAACAAATACGTAAACTTGATGCTAGAGGATAAAGAAGTGCTATGAGAAAAAGAGAAGGCAGGACCAGGGCAGCAGCAGGAACGGAGGGAAGAGTAAACCTAGAGTCCTGAGATTAAATAAGTATGACACTGATCTCACTGACTTCAGCCAAAGCTGTAAATCCAAGGCAGGGCCAGTCCTGAACCTGGATTAGTGAATAATCTCTCAGCCTTCATCACTGCAGCTTTTTTGTGCAGTAGATGATGTTATTAAGAGAGACACACAAATGATCACCATGCAGAAAATTATAGGTAATAGAGTGCCCAGCTCTAAACCTACAAAATATCCCCTCCCACAAGACTCAAGAATCACTGCACAAGTTGGGATAGAAAGACTTTTAAGAAACATAAGTAGTAGAAAAACATCTATAGCAAAGCAATATTTGCTGGTCATGGCAGGTCTGTTACACACAGGAACTCATAGCAGCTATGACTGCATGCATAAGACCCGTACAAGATTAAGACAGCTAACATCTCAGCATGGACGGGGAGGGGCTGATAAAGTCACACCCACAGGTGAGAAGCTCCTGGCAACTGACAGGGCTGGGGGAGGTACAACTGTTTTCTTCAAGGATGGAGCACCAAATAGCTACCCACGCTCCAGCAGATGGCCCTATACCCATGTACATGCAGATAGCACTACAGACTACAAGGACTCAGTGAACTTAGAAAAGAAGACACATGAAATTGAGAGGGGAAGCCGGGCGTTGGTGGCGCATACCTTTAATCCCAGCACACGGGAGGCAGAGGCAGGTGGATCTCTGTGAGTTCAAGACCAGCCTGGACTACCAAGTGAGTTCCAGGACAGCCTCCAAAGCCACAGAGAAATCCTGTCTCGAAAAACCAAAAAAAAAAAAAGAAACTGAGAGGGGAATGTGATGGGAGGATAGGGGAAAATCTGGAGTGCAGAGAATGGAGGGTGGATGCTATCAAAAAATATTACATGCATGTAAGAAATTCTTAAACAAAGAAAAAAAGGAAATATGTTCTTACTACTAATAATCACTAAGGCCTGCAAAATATTAAGCTGGCTGAGAAAAGATTTGCTCAACAAAGGAGAAAGGCTTACTTTCGTACTAAAACTTTCACGTAAATTGTATACTGCATTCTACACAAGTGGCATGGCTATGACTTCTCAATGGTAACATATAAAACAACAGAAAATGTGAAGTTAGGACTAGGAGAACTCAGTAGGAGAACGCTGGCCTGGAATGTGCAGGACTTAAGTTCTAACCCTAGAACTGGAAAAAGAGCAAACAGCTAGTCTTCTAAAATGATATTATTTAACATTCCGTATTAAAATCATCTAGTAAGTTTAAATGGCAAGAATATCTTTCTAATTAACTTAGATTTACATAGTCATTTACAAATTTCATGCATTTTTATGATGACAATGAACAGAAGAGGAGATAACATTGGACTATAAAAACTCCACAAATACATACAAAAATTTACTCAAAATGAATCATGGATATAATACCCAAGACACTAAAACTTGTAGAACAAAGCATACAAGGTGCCTTTTGTGACGCCAAGTTAGGAAAAGATAAAACACCAGAACACATCTTCCCAGCGACTAAGAGGTAGAGGCAGGGAAATCATGGCTTTCAAACCAATCTGGCCATACAATAAGATCATGTCTCAAAAATATAAACGGGTACCTACTAAGCTAGCTTTTGAAAGGTAGTCATATGTCTACTGAGAAATAATAAAAGCTGGACAAGAATACTTAGTTATCCAGCACAACTGCTGATATGTAATAAGGACACATAGTGAACGAAACAGCTATGATCCCTGTCCTTGGGTTTATAATTTGATGAAATCAAAGGGATCAGGTAATATCAAGAAAGACAAATGTTACAAGAAACAGAACTTCTAGGTACAATAGAACAAACAGTAGGAGCATCAAAGAACCTCCTCTCTCATGAAGTGAGAAGGGAGAAATACCCCACTGAGTGCACTCAAGGGGCAGAGGCAGATGAGTCTCTGTAAACTCCAGGTCAGCCTCATCTACATAGCGAGTTCCAGGCCAGGCATGGATACAAAATGATACAACATCTTAAAAACCAATCCAAAGTAAACAAAATAGACAAAAAAGAACCAATCCAGAGAGAATGTTTACTAGTAGGTGTAATGTTTGCTCAGAACTTACTCTGATAAAACCAAAACATAGTATGAGAGGGAGGAGGGTTGGCCAAAGCTAGAGAGATAACCCAGCACCACAAAGTACTTATCCTCAAACAACAGCCATTCAAAGACGTCAGCTAAGGAAAGGAAGGGACACCTGTTTATAGCCGCTGTGAGGATCAGGCTATAATTAGAAAATAAAGTCAGGACATGATGTTGGCCTGAACTAGGAACCCCAGGGAATGACTACGGGACAAGAAGCCAGGTAAGAAGTCAGGTCTAACCTCGGAGTTCTTGTGGGTGCCGCTACAAGAATTAACAGCAGATGCACTCAGGAGGGGATGTTAGATAAGAAATGAATGTGGCTTTGTGGGAAGGAAAAATGAAGACAGAAAGTACTATTATAACCGTATGAAAAACATTAAGTGGAGATGTTGCACACTCAGAAGCAGAGTCTTAAGCTATAGATTCTGTGAGTTCTTTGGTAACTGAGATGATAGTGAAAAGAACGTCTTATGGATAGACAAAACAGGTCAAGAAAAAAAACCTAGCAATGGAATCTAGAGTAATGAAGGGAAACTGAACAAGGAAAGTGAGTAAGTAAGAAAGGTGGCCCAGAGGGTAGGCAGAAGTCACAGAGCCACCTAGACTGAACAATAAAACGCATGTGTCCTTTCAAGAGCAGTTTCTTAGCCTGAGGATTACATAGGTGATGAAACAGAACATGAACACTCTTGTGAGAAATCTGATGGAGAAAAGAAAGAGGGAAATTAGTAACAGAAGGACAAGCTCACAAGAACTCTTATTCACACAAACATAAAGTATGTATCTGCAAAGAAATGCACCTGAGCATGTATGTGACACCCAGGTATAAACACAGAGGCATGTTCAACTGTAAAAAAAAAAAAAAAAAAAAAAAAAAGGAAAATGCCTACAATCCTAGAACAGAGGCAGAGGCAGGAGGGCTACAGCAAGTTCAAGCCAGTCTGATCTCACAGCATATTCTAAGCATCAGGGCTACATAGAATCTTCTGTCAATAAAAGGGAAAGGGATAGAAAGTAGACCAAGTTTAAAAAAAAAAGAGAGAAAAAAACCCCACAAAAGTAAGTCACTGTAAAGGCAGAAAAACATGTTATGAAGTATGAAAGAGAGGTGAAGAGATTACTCTTGGGAAACCGTATCTTCACAGTAGGGGAAAGAAAACCAAAAGGAGAGCCATAAGACAAACATGCTTTTGTCTACCTGAATAAGTTAGGTTGGAAAAGCTGTATTTGCTATTACTAGAAGTTTTAAGCCAAATTCAATGCTGACTGACCTAAAATGTTATATAAAGAATCAAATAGAGGTAAGGTTTTTTGCCTTTGGTTTTTCTTTCAAGATTTTAAAAATTGTATTTCAACAGGTGTTTGCCTACATGTGTCTGGATACCATGCATTACCAGGTGCCCTCAGAGGCCAGAAGAGGGTGCAGATCCCCTAGAACTGGAGTTACAGATAGTTAAAAGTAGGGACTAAACCCAGTCCTCTGCAAGAGCAGAAGTACCCTTTAACCACTGAGCCATCGCTCCCTTTTGCCTACTACCTTAAACATGTCCCATCTTGTCCTTTTTTCTGAGAGATTTTATTTTTAATTATGTGTGTGTGTGCGGGTATGTGCACATGAGTATAAGTGATGAACTTCTGGAGCTGACCTTCAGGAGGTTGTAAGTTGCTTGATATTGGTACCGGGAACTGAACTCGGGTCCCCTGGAGGAACAGTATGTGTTGTTAACCACTGAGCTATCTCTCCAGCCTCCCAAGAGGTTGTAAGTCCCTTTCAACTCCACAGAAGTAAAATAAAGACACTACTTACCAATTCTACACCAATTACTCCTGCGCCAATAACAACTAACTTCTCTGGAACTTTTTTTAAAGATAAAGCTCCTGTAGATGACACTATAGTATCTTCATCAATCTATAAAAAAAGCAAAAGCAACAAGTAAAATTACTTGGAAAAACCAGGAAGTTATTATATGATCTCATGCCATAAAATATTACGTCATGGCTTCTATATATCACAATTTCATCAACTCTCATTCAAGATGCTCATTTGAAATTGTATCATTTGATATTCCAAAATAAAAATGGTTACTTTTAACTTCGTATTTTGTGCTTTGTTGTGTATCCATGCTTATGTGTGTGGAGGCAAAAAGTCAACCTCAGCCATCATTGAGAAGCTTTGTGAGCTGTATACACAGGTGTGTAACAAGCGCTTCATCAACCAGCTCTTCTTCTGAAACAGTGTCACTGGGTAGTCCTTGCCGTTAAACCAGCTTAGCATTCAACTATAGCAATCTTCCTGCCTCTTGTTCCAAACACGGGGATTACAGACATTCTCCACCATGCCTGGTTTAACTTCATATTGAATTCAAATATATTATAAAATGTTCTATATCTGATCATAATCACTGCGAAATATTAAATCTTTGCAAAGATAAATGGCTGCCTAATTACAGTGTTGCAGTCAGAAATCACTAAATATTTATAAACAGAACAAATCTGTAAAAAATCTATTGTAAGAAACATTTTAAGAAATGAATTAGAAGACATACATACCGTGATTCCAGGAAAAGGAGTGACCTCTGAACCCGTGGCTATAAGGATGTTTTTTGTACCAATAACCTGAGAGCTTCCATCGGCTTTTGTAGCTGTGACCTGATTCTTGCCAGTTATCTTTCCAAATCCATTGACATGAACAACCTTTACAAAGTAATATGTATATGCTTAAACTGTTTTTCTGATAGAAATAACAGGAACTGTACTCTAGATAACACAGAACATAAAATACTTCCTTAATAACGCATAGCACATGCAGCAGCAAAAACAATGTCTCATGGACATCTGCTTCAGGGTACTGTTATTTTGGATTTTATTCTTTGTATAATTTGGATGATGACAAATGCATTACATCATTTTTTAAATGTTTTAGTACTATTTTAAATTAAATATCCCACAGCAGGCCAAGATCATAGAGCATCACTATTATTTCATGTCTATGTGAATCTGAGCACTGATGACCAACCAACCTTATTTTGTTTGAATAAGTGGGCAATTCCCCCTGTCAACGCTTTTACTGCAGAACTCTTCTGCTCCATCATCTTCTCTAAATTCAAGCGAACTTCTGACACTGCAATTTGTTAGATAAATCTTATCATTATTTAAACTCTGAAAGCAATATGCGATAGTTTCCAAGTAACCAAGATCTAAAAATATTCATCTCAATGTTGCTAAAACTATACAAAAAGCAGTGTTAACTTTTAAAATTTAGCAACTGTCATAAGCACAGCCAGCAAAACTAAATCATGACACCCAACAATAGACCCCAACTGTTAGACGTGCACCTGTGCCAAAAATGCAGACCAAATACAAATGTCCTATTCCACTCTGACACTCTATGAGGAGTTTGTTATACTATTAGTCTGGAAGATAGTTAAGTAAAAATGGCAAAGTAAAACATTACCTGAAATTATAAAGACAAATGTTAAAAATTCATTAAACAAAAACATGTATTTGAACATATCAAAATATAAAAGCTTAATATAATGAGTCTAGTTTAATCAACTAGATTTTAAAATTCATTTAACTCAGAATACTAAAGCAACAATATAAGATAAAAATGTTCAATTCAACAGAACTCAGAGGAAAAGGCACAGCAGTCAGTCTATGCAGCCAATACATATACAGACTGCGACATTCCTGACTGACAAAGGTCACCCAGCTGAAAGGTTTGCCTATAATGCATGTCTCCTGACTATCCCAAGTCTTCTTAACATGGTTCTTTCATAGAGTGTGGCATATTTGCTGTAGCACATACACACACATCATCTATACGCTTGACTCCCTATACAACCTCTTTCAGAAACTACTACTGAAAAAAAAAAAAAAAGCCAAAAAGTACATTAGGTCTATCTCCTGGGTATATGTGTCAAATACAACTAGGAAAAGAGGATAAAAACAACCCTCTAAAACATGGGAAAACTACAGATTAAATACAAATGTTATAGTCTTCCTTTCTCACTCAATCTCTCCCTCCCCCTCTCCTTTAGCTCTCTGTTCTGTTCTTTACAACAATAACTCAATAGACCTGCTCTCCTTCCTTCAATCATACCTGTCCCTAGCAAAGCACTCAAGAATGTAGCCTCTCCCATGATCAAACGTTGTGAGGGAAATAAAACCCAACTCTTCACTGACACCAAAAAATAGAACTTAGGAAAATCTTACAAAGGCAGAGAAGTTGCCATGGTAGAAATTTGAACCTGGGGCTGGAGAGATGGCTCAGGGGTTAAGAGCACTGCCTGCTCTTCCAGAGGACCTGAGTTCAATTCCTAGCAACCACATGGTGGCTCACAACCATCCGTAATGAGATCTGGTGCCCTCTTCTGGTGTCCAAGCATAGAACACTATATGAATATATAATAAAAAATTAAAAAAAAAAAAGAAAAGAAATTTGAACCTAAGCATTCTTATGTAAATCTCTCTAAATCTCAAGATTTTTATCTCACTCATCCTTGAATACACATCCGTTCACACATACCAGTATTCAGCAAGAAAGTCAAGCATGACTAATACTACTCACTATAAAAAGTATACTTACGTTCAATTCCCCTAGATGCAAAATCTTTTCCATGGGCCAGATGGTAATAATGAGAGTTATTCAATAAAGCCTAAAAGAAGTAGCAAATTTATCAAATACTCATAAACAGACTCTATAGCAAACTTACAAAATGACATTTTCTATTTAGAATGATACACACTACAATACGAATTCATCTTTCCTTCTCATACAATTAGCCTAAGACAAACAATAGTGACATAAAATACATACAAACAAGAATAAACAACAAAACAAAGTTATTATCTTTAAAAGTAAAACAATAAGAACACATTTCAAGGAGGCAGGTCAAAAAGGACTTCTTGCTTTCACAGGCAGAAACATAAAAAAAAATTAATTATCTTTTCACTGGCAATGGAAAACTAAAGAAAAAACAAACCTGCAACAATGGAATCTGGAATAGGAGGAATTTCCAGAATGTATGATAGGCTGTGACAGCACTTGACCACTTACAAAGGGAAAAGTCTTGTAAATGTACTCAGATTCCTTTTAAGGAACTGTGTTAGATTACTGATCTAATGATCTAATATCAGTACAGCTCTGCAGTCAGTAGTAGCTACTGAAAAACAATCCTTGCAGCATTTGAAACACATGCTCACCTTTGAAGGAATACAACCCACATTCAAACATGTTCCACCTAGTGTTTCATTCTTCTCAATGCAGACTGTCTACAATCAAAGAAAGCATTACTTGATCACATGTAAATGCATAGCTCATTTCACTAAAATTCAAAATACACATGTCTAAATTGCTCTACAAAGTAAGCTCCTCAAACTGCTTTTTCTAACTAAGAGTCCTTTGAAATCTACCATCTGAATAATAAAAAAATGAGGCTAACTCAAGAGTGGATCATTCTAAAAGATTTTTGTCCAACATTACCACATACATGTTTTACTGTTATTACAAATGTATTCAGAAACCAAAATCAAATATTTCAGAAAAAAAAGCTGACTTTCCTGTACTACTACAATCAATAAAACCCATTAGTCTCAGATTTAAAAAAAAACTATAGCTAAAAAAAAAAAAAGTAATTTCCTGAGCTAGAGTTGGCTCAGTGGTTAACAACACTGGCTCCCTTCCAGAGGACCCAGGTTCAGTTCCCAGCACCCACATGGCAGCTCACAACCATCTACAAATCCAGTCCCAGAGGATTTGACACCATTTTCTGGCCCCTGTGGGCACTGCATACACACAGTGCATAAACATACATGAAGGCATGTAAAATACCCAGATGCATAAAAGCTGAAAAAAATTTTCTAATCATTTTCCATGTTTTTACCTGCAAAACATGCTGTGGCTTAAAATAAGCTTGGCCCACATAAAAGAAAGCAACATCAACTTTGGTTCTATCTTACCTTAAAGCCTAATTGGGCAGCTTTGATAGCAGCAACATATCCTCCTGGGCCAGAACCAATCACTGTCACATCAGCATCAACTATCACAAGAGCAGATTGATATACAATAGTAAATCACTAACATTTACCAAAAGCCCTCCAAATAATCAGCATGGCTCACAAAGTGTTATTTTGTTCCAAGATATCTGATGTTCCTTGATGCAAATAGAAACAGTACACATTCTGAAACCCCACTTTTATCTTCTATAGCATGTGCAGACACAGCTGCGTCCTAGGGAATGAACCTTACACGCAGCTGCCACTTACTGTTCATCACATATCAGTTGACGTGACTCTTCTGTAATGTGAAGACGACAAGGATGCTATAAACAGAACATTTTCAACAAGAAATAAGATATTCTGAAATGAACTGGCGAGCCCCAACTATCTAGTAATTAAGTAGCAGACGCAAACTAAGCTTTTTGACTCTACATCTGGTGTTTTTCTTTTCATTTAATAAAACCCCTTTCTTGCCGAGCATCGGTGGCGCACGCCTTTATTCCCAGAACCCAGGAGGCAGAGGCAGGCAGATCTCTGTGAGTTTGAGGCTAGCCTGGTCTACAGAGATAGTTCCAGGACAGGCTCCATAACAATACAGAGAAACCCTGTCTTGGAAAAAAAACAAAAAATCCCTTTCTTTAGTTTCAGCCTTCATAAGTTAAAAATCCCAAAGCTCCAAACCACTAGCAAGATGACCCTAGGCAAGTAATTTGACCTGTTTTGCTTTAACCCTTCATCGGCAAAATAATTACAAAAAATTTTTTACTTTATAGTCAAAGCAGAATGTTGAGGGCTACCGTGGTTTTTAAGCTATCAATGACCTTCAACTCCAAACTATTTTACAAGCTTCTCATATAAATTTATCATACTCATCCCCAAAGTGCTCACCATCTGAAATCCTGAACAGGATAATTCACTTTCTGATCATAATCTTAAAAACATTTAGTCCTTAAGAGTAAAATAAGGACTAAAACAAATCTAGATTCAGGGCTGAAGAGACTGCTCAGTGGTTAAGAATACTGGCTGCTCTTCCAGAGGACCTGAGTTTGATTCCCAGCACCCACATGGAAGTAATGCCACCCCGAGAACCCAACACCCTCTTCTGGCCATCATAGGCACCAGACATGCAAATGATGAACATATATACACGTGCACATACACCTAAAGATAAACTAATATTTAAAAACAAATCTGGGCTCAACTAATAACTATAAATTCTTGAGCAAAAAAAGTTTCTTTTGAGTGTTGATACAACATATGGATAATGGTGATGATGTCTAATAGTTCAAGGTTGTTAATAACCAAAGAAAATACACGTAAAAAACCTAAGAAGGTGCTGGGTACACACCAAGCACTCAGTAACTGTTACTTCCTTCCTTGGATCTGCCTGCCACATTCTGTCTGGCCAGACTTTAGAAAATGAGCACCCAGCTTCAGTCCCATCCTGGCAAAAGACAATGCTGCTACCCCTTGTGCTGGATCTGAAAAGCCCAGCTCAGATCAATTTTCTAACTCTTCATGGATTTCCCTGTCTCCTACTCAAACAACTCCATCTTACTAAGTAAAACACCAACATCTTTTTGCTATCTATTTCTCCAGTCTCATTTTCCACCCCATTCGACATGCCTACCACAGGATTACAGTAGCCTATGTCTATATTGTTTCATTATCTAGAACATACTGACAGCATGCATTTCACATTTCAAACACTGAACTCTTGGAATATATGTGCATGATTAGTCTGCCTCTTAGGATCTGATTCGAGAGAAATAAAAATAGTAAATTTAACAGAAATGATTTTTAAAATCAATTTGGTCCTACGATGGCTCTGCTTATATCTTGGTTGTGAGCCTAGCCTTTAACGGCTGAGCCGTCTCTCCTGCCCTGGCTCTGCTTAAAGCACTGTACTAACTCCCAACTTCCTATTTGAGAAGTCAACTATCTTCAATACGCTGTAGCCTTTTTATTGGTTTAAATATATTGTGCTTCTTCCCATATTACAATATTCACCCATGCCCATCCATCCCTCCTCAGACAATGCTTGGACTTCTTTTCCTGTTGATGGGACAAAATACACGTTTTGGATCACAGTTCAAAGTCGTGCCAGTCACCATGACAGGGAAGTGAAGACACTAGGAGCTTCAGGAAGCTGGGGATATCACACCCACAACCAGAAATCTGAGTGTTCCGCTCACTTTCTCTACGTTATACAGTTCCCTGCCCAAGTAGTAGTCTCTCCACAGTTAAGGTGGATTTTCCCAATCAATCAATCAATGTAATCAGAATAATTCTTCCAAGTCTAACCTAACCTCATGCCTCCAGGTTTATTTTTTATCTCCTGGCTGATTCCAGAACTGGCAAGTTGACATTAATAATCATTATGTACATAAACATAAAATCCCTAAGAACTATGCAACCACTCCCAATCCACATACACACCTCATAAATCCCTGTCCTTAGCCACTGGACTGTTAATCATGATGACAAGTATTTATTAAATGATTGTCTTCCCCACAAAGACTGTGAACTCCAAAACAGCTGAGTTGTGTCTGTTTAAATCACTGCTATATCCAAGCAGCTAACATAAGAGATTTCTAACTTCTCTTTGCTACATATATTTTTGGTTCTGCTCTGTGGTAATAAGGAGGCAATCCAACATCACTGTCCACAAAAAATTAATTCCTCTGACTCTCAGATCTAATGAACACTTTCAGCTAAACAGCAGGATACAAAATCAGTGTACAGAAATCAGTAGTTTTTCTTTTAATCAATAATGAACATGCTGGGGGGAAAAAAAAGAAAAAAGATTTATTTGCAGTATCATCAAATGAATAAACAAAATAAAAATTAAAACCTAGTAATAAATTTAACCAAAGACAGCTACAATGAAAATTTAAAGCACTGAACAAAGAAATTGAAAAAGACACCAGAAAACAGAAAACCTCCCTATTCATGAAAAGAATTAATATTGTGAAAACGGCTATATTACCAAACAAGACAAACAATCTCAATGCAATATCCATCAAAATTTCAATGCAATCTTTTACAAAAATAGAAGAAAACTCCTAAAGTTCACATAGGAGCACAAAAGACCCCACACAGCCAAAGCAATCCTGAGGAAAAAGAGCAACACCATAGAAGCACAACAACAAAAAAGCAAGGTGCACAAAACAGACGTGCACACCAATGGGCAGTGTGAGACACAGAAAGAAAACTACAACTACAGCTACACGGTTTTTGTTTGTTTTTACCAGGACACCAAAGAAGAAACCTTTCCCCAAGTGGTGCTGGGGAAACTGACTGTGCACACATAAGACTGAAACTACAGTGTCGTTTCTTACAATGTACAAAAACTCAAAGTGGACCAACAACCCTCACATAAGACTCTGAAGCTGCTCAAGGAAAATACTTCAGGTACAGGCTAAACAAACATTTTCTGAAAAGCATTCCCACAGTCCAGAAAATAACATTAAGAACAGAAAAATAGTGGTGGCACACACCTTTAATCCCAGCACTCAGGAGGCAAAGGCAGGTGGATCTCTGAGTTTGAGTAAAAATGGAAAAGAGCTATCAGCTCCTCTAGTTGAAAACTGCTGCACTGAGTACTTACTTGGTTGGTCTGCATAAGTTCTTAAAGGCACTGAAGAAACTCCTTGTAGGCCAGGAGATACCCGATTGAAATGGCCTCTCTAGAAGAAAAAGGCAAAGAAATTTTTCTTGTTAAGTAAAATAAATTTTTTTACGACAGGCTAGTGAGATAGTTGGGTAAAGGTTCCTGCCACCAAGAATGACTCCCAGGTTCAATCCCTGGGAACCATATGGTGGACGAAGAGAACTGACTCCCCAAAGTTATACTCACTCGTGTATACACGCGCGCTAACACGCACGCACGCACGCACAAATGTAATTTAGGAGGTTGATGACAACATACTGGGGCAAATGTATCAAGCGCTGATTCTTTTTTTTTTTTATTTTTAAGATACAATCATATCGATCCCCAGTTCCCTCTCCCTCCCTTCCTCCTATGCCCCCTACCAGCCCCCACCAACCCACCCCGACCCGCAGAGGCCCTCTTTCGTGTATCCGAGTTGCAATAGTATCCCTCCATAGGGAATGGCTTCTGAAGTCCATTTGTGCACTAGGGATAAATACTGGTTCCACTGTTAGAGATTCTATAGACTGCCCTGACCTCCTAACTGACAACCACATTCAGGGGGCTTGCTTCAGTCCAACCAGCACTGACTCTTAACGGACTTTCTGTTACCACAAAGGGTATGCTGTCAATTTCCCCTCCTTGTCAATAATACTAAACTTTCACAATCTCACCTTTCCAGATCTGCCTTATTGATATGGATATTCAATGTGTCACCTCGTATTAAACTTAATAAAATACACTCAATGACTTAGTGTCACTAAAATGTCAGAAAGCACAGCTAATTTTAATGCCAAGAAGCATTTCAGTTTCTAACTGGAAGTCTGAAACTTTGAATCCAGGTATTTGTTCACTTGCCCTTACGCTGCCTGACTTAAATCTGGTGAACAGTCTGCAGTCACAACGTTTATGAGGATGTTCTTGAGCCGCCGACCATGAACAGAAAACTGAAGTAGGAAACGCACCAACAGTGTCAGCGCGCCCACGTTCTGGACGGTCCACCAACTGCATCACCACCTCGCCCTGCTTACACTTTCCCTAACCCTCGCCCTGCCTACACTTTCTGCCTACACTGGTCTCCTGAGCCCAGAGACCCGAGGAACAACGCGGGTGCCAGCTCCTACGACGGCGGGCAAGTCCGTGGCTAGCGGGAGGCAGTGACAGTATACACATGCTCCGATGTGGCAGCGCCGTCCTCCGCTGGGAGACAGCTTGAGGTCGAGGCGCGCCAACCAAGGAGGAGCGAGCTGCCTGTCCCTGGTTCTAGCCCCGGCTCAGCTTCTCCCTTAAAGGAGCGTTTCGCACGCTACGCTAATTTCTGAGGACGCAGCCACCGAGGTCTGGGCCGCCTCTGGGGCCCTCGCGCTCCCGCGCCGCCCGCACTCGGCTGGGCCGCCTTTACTAACTGGCGGGCGCGGACCCGAGCGGAACCGCAGGCCTGGCGGGGGGCGGCGCGGGGCACGAGCTCAGAGGCGCGGGCGGGGACTTCGAGGCTCGGTGTCCCCGGCCCGGGTCAGGGCCCAGCCCCTCGGCCCACGCCCGGAAGTGCGGAGCGGGGCCGCGGGCGGTCACCGCACAGCCCCGGTCTCCCCCGGGCGCCCCCTGCGCCTCGGGCCGGGCCTCACCTTGGCCCAGGAGCAGCACACACGGCTCCAGCTCTGCATCGTCGTCCCGCAGTGCCGACCCTGGCGACGAGCGTTCACCTCCGCGGAGCGACGGCCGGCCAGCCAAGGTCTCCCGCGCTGCGCATGCGCGAGGCCGGCGCGTCACCGCCCCGGAGCAGCGCGATTGGCCCGGGCGGGCGGAAGCCGTCCGTCGGGGCGCCGCGTCGTACGCTGTCGTAACGGACGCCGGCGCTTTGGGACCCTGTGGCCCGGGTGTCCGTGAGATGGGGGGGACCGGCCGAATAAGTAAAAGCGTTGTTTGCTCGGCGCGGCCTGCGGAAAGCGAAGTGTGGGTAGGGGAGAGAGGAGAGTTCGGCAGCCGCGGGCCTTACCTGGGTCTCGGAGATCCAGCTAGTGTCTCCGTCTGCTGCTGGGAGCTTAGGGGAGCAACCGGGAGGTCACCAGGCACCCATCCTGACTGTGATCCCCGAAAGGCACACCTGGGTCTCAGCCGAGCCCTTCTTCACCCACACTCCGCCCGGAAACCCCGCAAACGAGGGAGACTAGGAAACATCTGCCTTCTGTGTCTCGGGGTTGGGGTGGCGGGTGACACAGCGGGCTCGCCCAGAATGGCCCTGCACCTTAGGAGGTCGGGAGCTGGTCTGCTGGATTGAGCACGGGGGTCTGAGATCTCATTCCCACTTCGCAATCACTGTCTCCAGTAAGAAAACTTTAACGCTACTTTTCTCGAAAGGTTACAACCCAGGCACTGTAGTGAACCCCATAGAGTTGAGCATTACATGAATATTACTCCTCTATCTTGAGAGAAGACTGACTGAATGAATGAATGAGCGAGTGAATGGTTTTAATGTTATGAAGAAAGCTAGCTGTTGTTAAATAATCATCCCTCCACCTCCCCCATCCCCACCCTCCTGCTCATCTGCCTTTTTTTTTTTTTCTCTTGAGACTGTCCCACGTGCCTCAAACTGGCTTCAAACCCCATACACAGCTGAGAAAGACCTTGAACTTGGCTATGATCTTCCTGCTTTCGTCTCCTGGGTGTGGGATTGCCGGTGTCGACTTCCACACCAAGTTTATGCATTACTGGGTGGTGGGAATGGAACCCAGGCCTTCTAGGACGCCAGGCAAACTCTCTTCCAACGGTCCTCGTTCTCCTTTTCATATTAGTGTTCAGCTGGACCGACAGGTGTTCACAATAGCAGCTGCCTGTGCCAAACAGCTAAGGATAGGCATGAGACCAAATACTGACCAATGTCCTTCTTCATTTATTGTATGTTAAATTATTTCTGATAATCTTTGATGGAATAACATTCATTGTGGTGTATTTAGACCAAGTCCAAAGAGTAGTACTTTTCAAATTAAAAAGTAGACTTGATTGAAAGAGAAGTACTATCAGGTGACTCTCAGGCTAGGGACAAAACTACCTCCTTCTCCCCCCTTCTCCTCCTCTCCCCTCCTCCTCCTTCTGTTTCCCTCATACTTCTCCCTTCCCTCTTCTCTCCCTTTCCATCTCTCCTCTTTCCTCTCCTTTTCCTACCCTCTTACTCTTCTTCTTTCTCCCAACCCTTCATTCTGTAGGCATTTTTAACCCAAGTACACGTTTTTATTTAAATTAGAAACAAGCTTGTTTTACATGTCAGTCCCAGTTCTCTCTCCTTCCCCTCCTCCCCTGGCCCCACTGGCCCCTTATCCCATCCCTTTTCTGCTCCCCAGGGAAGCTGAGGCCTTCCATGGGTATCTCCAAAGTCTCTCATATCCTTTGGAGCAGGGCCTAGACCCTCCCCCATATGTCTAGGCTGAGAGAGTATCCCTCTGTGTGGAATGGGTTCCCAAAGTCCATTTGTATACTAGGGATAAATACTGATCCACCACCAGAGGCCCCATAGATTAACCAGACCTTCAAATTGACCTCCTTGTTCAGGGGGTCTGGAACAGTCCTAAGCTGGTTTCTCAGCTATCAGTCTGGGGTCCATGAGCTCTGCCTTGTTCAGGTCAACTATTTCTGTGGGTTTCTCCAGCCTGGTCTTGACCCCTTTGCTCATCACTCCTCCCTCTCTGCAACTGAATTCCAGGAGTTCAGCATAGTGTTTAGCTGTGGGTGTCTGCTTCTGCTTCCATCAGTTACTGGATGAAGGCTCTAGGATGGCATATAAGGTAGTCATCAATCTCATTATCAGTAAAGGGTATTTAAGGTAGCCTCTCCACTATTGCTTAGATTGTTAGTTGGTGCCATCCTTATAGATCTCTGGGAATTTCCCTAGTGCCAGATTTCTCTTTAAACCTATAATGGCTCCCTCTCTTATAGTATATCTTTTCTTGCTGTCCTCTATTTTTCCCCCAACTCAATCTTCCTGCTCCCTCATGTTCTCCTCTCCCCTTCTCTTCTCCCATTCTCTTTCTCCTATCTTGGTCTCCCCTCCCACCTTGCTCCCAATTTGCTCAGGAGACCTTGTCCCTTTTCCCTTCTCTGGGGAACCATGTATGTCTCTCTTAGGATCCTCCTTGTTTCCTAGCTTCTCTGGTGATGTGGATTGTAGGCTGGTAATCCTTTGCTCTATGTCTAAAATCCAAATATGAGAGAGTACATACCATGATTGTCTTTTTGTGACTGTGTTACCTCACTCAGGATCGTTTCTTCTAGTGCCATCCATTTGCCTGCAAATTTCAAGATTCCATTGGTTTGTCCCGTCCCCGCCCCCCACACACACTGAGTAGAACTCCATTGTGTAAATGCACCACATTGTCTCTATCCACTCTTCAGTTGAGGGGCATCTAGGTTGCTTCCAGGTTCTGGCTATTACAAATAATGCTGCTAGGAACATAGTGGAACATATGTCCTTGTTGTATGAATGTGCGTCTTTTGGGTGTATGCCTAAGAGTGGAATTACTGGATTTTGTGGTAGACTGATTTCCATTTTCCTGAGGAATCTCCATAACCATCTCCAGAGTGGCTGCATGAGTTTGCACTCCCACCAGCAGTAGAGGAGTGTTCCCCTTTCTCCACAACCTCTCCAGCATAAATTGTCATTAGTGTTTTTGATTTTAGCCATTTTGATGGGAGTGAGTTTTCATTTGCATTTCCCTGATGGCTAAGGATGTTGAGCACTTTCCCAAGTGCCTGTCAGCCATTTTAAACTCCTCTATTGAGAATTCTCTATAGTCTGTACCCTACTTTTTAATTGGATTATTTGGTGTTTTGGAGACTTGCTTCTTGAGTTCTTTGTAAATTTTGGAGATAAGCCCTCTGTCAGATGTGCGGTTGGTGAATATCTTTTCCCATTCTGTGGGCTGCCATTTTTGTCTTGTTGACTGTGTCCTTTGCCTTGCAGAAACTTCTCAGTTTCAGGAGGTCCCATTTATTTATTTGTTGATATCAGTGTCTGTCAGGAAGCAGTCTCCTGTACCAATTTGTTCAAGGGTACTTCCCACTTTTTCTTCTAACAGGTTCAATGTGGCTGGATTGATGCTGAGGTCTTTCATACATTTGGACTTAAGTTTTGTGCATGGTGATAGATATGGGTCTATCTGCTGTCTTTTACATGCCAGCATCCAATTACTCCAGCACCATTTGTTGAAGATGCTTTCTTTTTTCCATTGTATAGTTTTAACTTCTTTGTCAAAGATCAGGTGTTCAAAGGTGTGTGGGTTGATACCAGGGTCTTTGATTCCATTGGTCTACCTGTCTATTTTTGTGCCAATACCAAGCTGTTTTCAGGACTATAGCTCTATAATAGAGCTTGAAGTCAGGCATGGTGATGCCTCCTGAAGTTCCTTTGTTGTACAGGGTTGTTTTGGCTATCCTGGGTCTTTTGTTTTTCCATATAAATTTGAGGATCGTTCTTTCGAGGTCTGTGAAAAATTGTGCTGATATTTTGATAGGGATTGCATTGAATCTGTAGATTGCTTTTGGTAAGATTGCCATTTTTACTATGTTAATGCTACCTATCCAAGAGCATGGGAGATCTTCCCATTTTCTGGTATCTTCTTTAACTTTTTTCTTTAAAGACTCAAAGTTCATGTTATACAGGTCTTTCACCTGTTTGGTTAGTTACCCCAAGATATTTTATGGTGTTTGTGGCTATTGTAAAGGGTGATGTTTCTCTGATTTCTTTCTCATCCCCTTTATTGTCTATATATAGTAGGGCTACTGATTTTTTTTTAGTTGATTTTGTATCCCGCCACTTTGCTGAAAGTGTTTATCATTATCAGCTGTAGGAGTTCCCTGGTAGAATTGTTTGGGTCGCTTACATAGACTACCATATCATCTGCAAACAGTGACAGTTTGACTTCGTCCTTTCCAATTTGTATCCCCTTGATCTCCTTCTGTTGTTGTATTGCTCTAGCAAGAATTTCAAGTACAATATTGAAGAGATACGGAGAGAGTGGACTGCCTTGTCTTGTTCCTGATTTTAGAGGAATCAGAATTGAGTTTCTGTCCAAAGTTTAGTTAGATGTTGGCTGTTGGTTTACTGAATTGCCGTATTTATGAACAAGATAAATATTGTCATTGTTTTAGCTACTAAGATTCGTAGGACAGTTTGTTGTAAAGCAATGGATAGATTAAGCCCTTACATGCCCCCAACAGTCAGTATAATTAAACAACTGATTTTCTTTCTTCTATGGATCTCCTTATTCTCATCCTCTCCTCTGTTGCTATTCAAATCTCTCTTTATGGTGCCGTTACCACTGCCACTATTCATTATAAAACAGTGTTCATCCCCACAGCTATTGCCACTCTGCCAACAAAGTAGGACTGAATATGCAAATTTAGTTTATGTAGAGATGCAGCTATTACAAGACAGAGTCCCAAAATAATGACATAGTAACCAGTTTCTCTCACATAAAAGATGGTATTTCTGGCAAATATGTCCCATGAAGAAATCCTTAACTTCTCTTTTCTTTTGGCTCTGCCACGATCAAAATTCTGACTGAAATCTTTTGTTCATGATGGCTGTACTACTTCCTATGACCACATAGCTCTGTAAGTTTATTTGCTTTTCACTAGCTTTTAAAATTATTAATATAGTGATTTACCCTATATCCCTAGTCTCTCACTAGCTAGTAATACTTGTGACTTAACAGGCTAAAACTGTTGACTTTCACTAACTCCCTGTTTTCTCCAGTGAGAGGTGACTTTTATGTCTTAAAAC